CTTTTAACCATCCTTTCCTGTTTTGGAAGCCATTTAATCTTTTTACATCTGTTTCCTCATCTGTAAAATGGGTAGAATATGTATGCATGAGTGAGCATCCTGGGGGGGAGAGTAGAGAAGGACAGTTATCCTAATCCTAGCTAACAGGATTTATTTGAGGGTCATTTAGAAATAAAATATATGTGCAAGTAAAATATTTGCAATGATTACATCTTCCCCTCACTGCAAGGTAGTCTTATTCTTTGCTATAGGAGCCAGCTGTTTTGATGGGCCCCACAAGTCCCTTTGGCTGAAGGTCTTTCCCCCACTAGCTCTGCCACAGTGCTTGGAACTCCTTGATTGTCACCTCCTTAAAATTCAGGTTTGGGCCTTCAAGTGTTGTCTGGGAGAAACGATACATTATGCCGTTATCATCTGCTAAAACCTTGGGTAAATTGATCTTATCTGACTAGACTGTGGGTCACCTAGCAGGTCTCATGGAGAATGAACACGGCGTGGCTCCTTTTTATGGAGAGAAAGATGGCTGGAGAAGTCTGGAAGAGACCACAGGGGCAGTTTAAAGGTCCTCCTACTGTGAGAAATAGTGGGAGAAGGAAATCCAATTGCAGGTCACCAGCGAGTGTCTGTGGTTTTTACTTACGCTGATTTTATTTTGGAGAACTACCCTCTGTCTTTGGGTATGGTCTTGTTGAGACTTCTATTTAAGTATCTCCTCAAGGGAAGGGAGAAGTCTATGATCTGAGCGATGCCAGTCAGATGCTGTCCTTCAGGAATTGAATCCTGAGTGGAGAAACATAAAGACCTGAAATAGTTGGAGAGCATCCATCTTAATGGAGATGCCCTAGAGAGACTGTTCAATAGCTCTGCCACCTAGATCCGCAGAGCTGCCCTGCCTGATCTCTAGCCTTCCTGAGCTGTGTCTTCAACTTCTTTTGCTGCCTCCTAGCGAATTTACTTCTCTCTCTTTTTCCACTTCCTCATGTTAGTTAGATTTGGTCTCCGTTGCTTGATACCAAGAATTCTAATATAAATGGACAAAGAAAAAACTTGTTTAATACAATAATTTAACCTATTTCCCTCTGTAGTAGCAGAGAGGTAGCTAAGATATGTTACTAAGTGCCCTATTTGAAGGCATTTATATCTCTAATATTTCCACTGGAACTTTGGGGGCTGGTCTCTCCTAAAACTCTGTGGGGAATTAAGTGGCCTAGGTGGTCTTCTTCAAACTGCTTCCTGGACAGGTTGGATTTACTAAGAAAAAAGGAGGGATTTGGTCTATTTCTTGCTCTCTTTGTCTCTTGTGGGCCATTGTTTAACTTCATGCTATTATATAGTATACATTCTCCATGAGGAGGTATAAAACATTTTACTTTCCTCATTACAAAATGCTACATGGCTATTATAGAAAATACCAAGAGTCAAAAAGATGAGAACAAAACCTACCCATAATCTTACCACCAAATAATTACTTCTTAACATTTTGCTATACTTTCTTACAGTCTTTATGACCACACATATATAAATAATGTATATTTTATAAAAATGGGATCAAAAAGTTTTATAAACTGAAATAACTTAATATTTAATAATTTTTTCATGTCATTAAATTATCCTCTTCAATATAATTTTTAATGGTTGCATAGCTTTCTTGCCCTGTTATATATTCATTACTCGCATTCTTAGTTCATCTAAAACATTGCATTCTTGTTATACATGAGAATCTGAAAATTAAAGTCACTTTTTGTTCTGAAATTGGTGTAAATAGTGCCCACTGGGACCATAGCCCACACTAATGTGCAGCATACATTATCACTCCCTGGTGATTGCTGGTTGAGTGACCAGTGGTAAACAATGCAGTATTGTTTTTTGTGACCCAGGCTGTAGACATTGCATGAACTTGTCATGCTGGGTGAGTTGTGTAAGGGCTGAAATGACCTTCAGCCCAATTGGCCTTCGGTGACTTCTACTTCAGTATCAGGCCATCCCAGGAGAGGCTTTGCACATAAGCCTTTTGTTATCAATATACTTGAATCTCATCCTTGTACCAAGCCCACAAAGGTATGCTAATAAGAACTCTAACTTTCCTGGACTTGACTGTGAACATCTTTCCTTAGTAGGTTTCAGAAAGTGCTGAGAAGTTTTAGCCAAGTAACGTGCAAGGGGGAAGGAAACAAGATTCTGGACCATCATTTGCTTTATTGGAATGCAGTTCTTTTGAGTGGTCGAATCAGGTAAGAAGGCCGGTATTTTCTTAGAGGGAGGGAGGAATCTTGAATCATTTCATTGTCTCCAAGTTCTTGATGAAACCGTAAAGCTTCACCTCATTTTCTTAGCTTTAGAAACCCATTTTGCTAAGTAATTACTTTTTATGGTCACAATCTTGAAAAACAGGTTTCTCAGTGTGGTAAAAATGTGGCAAGTGACCTGCTAACGTGTCATTAGAGCCTCATCCTTGAGTTTGCAGGATTATGCAAGATTAAGTGGGAACCATTAGGAAATGTAGAATCCTTTGAATTGTAATCATCGGCTCATCTCTCCAAGGTGCATTTGCCTTCTGAAGGCGGAGAAGGCATTTACTTTCATGTTTGAATTCAGATTTTAATCATCAGTGAGAAATAAATGGTACTAACTGGTTCAAAAAGAATAATAATATATTGGCAGTGATTCTGGCAACTAAACAGAGCAGTGAAACACATGAGGTCCATCACTGAAATCTGAGTGAGAGATGGAAACTAATGTTAATTAAGTACCATTGTTGACTTGTGTAAAAGGCTGGTGGTGGTAATCAGATCAGCAGAACAAAACTAACAACAACAAAAATTATGATTTCGTGCCATGTCTGTTTGTTACATAGGCTCCTACCATGTGGTGGGTCACATTTACACATGCAATCTACTTGTAGATACTCCGGGGTTAGGAGGGCCACCTGTCACTCATCCTTTTTTAATTGCCTTCTTTGTGCAGAAGCTATCTCAGCTAGTAGGAAGGCTCATAGAAACCAAAGCTTTGAGCAAGAACTAGGTGTACTGGGTTTGAAGTTTGCTACTGAAATAGCAGCAAATGACTAGCACACTTCTTTGGATCATCAAAGTTTCAGAGGCATATCTTAGATGTGCTTCCTGACTCCTCAGGGCTGACAGTGAAAGTTGGGACCAAGATACAGAACTAATTCATTTTCCCTTAAATTTGAAGTTGTCCCTGCTGGTGGTGGTGGCCATCATGCTGGTGATAAATAGATGAGGAAAGCCTGTTAATAACCAGGAAATCTGAGAAGACATTCCTGTCTCTTTCTCCACTCTCAGTTCAGCCCTCCATCTGTAGTGTTTGCTGTTAAACTGATTTAACCTCTAGTCCAAGGATTGCAAAATAAAATGACTGCAGAGACCAGATAGTAACTTAGATGGATAAGGTCCACTGGGAAGGGAATATGGCATGTTGCAGAAAGCATGCCCCGTCTAAAGGAAACAGCAGCTCCTAAGTTTTATGAAACTCTTGGCATGTGGGAATGCTGGCTCAGTGTTGCCATATTTTATGAAATATTTTGAAAGAAAATTTGAAGTTTCAAATTTGTAACTGTGGGCTCTGTTTACAGATAAATTTTGTAAGCTCTATCTTTTGTCAACTAAGTCAAATTGAAACAAAAAATTGTCTGGGCCATGCTAAACACATCTGTTTGTTGCCAATTTACAACTCTTACGGGTAGCAGCATCTTAGCCACATAATGCCCATTTTGAGGGCAAGTCTTGGGACTCCTAGCTCATCTCACTTCTCAGGCTTCCTACAGCACAGGTTAAGAAAATGGGCTCTGAAGTTCCTACCTGTGATTCCAATAATCCTTTAATGCTAGCCTCATATAAACTCCCTTTAAGGAAAATGAGGAGCACAGTATCTTTGCTATTTTGGAATCTAATCATAAATGCTAACGTTTTGAGCACTTGTTATATTCCACGGAACAAACAAATTATTACTTGCGTCATCTTCTTTTTATAGGAACTCTATGAGATAGGTACTAAAATTATTATCATCATCATATCTCTGTTTTACAGATGGGGAAACTGAGGTTCGTTGTCAGGGAAGATTTCCCCAAGATTAGTTACAGTCAGTGGCAGAAATGCGGTTTGAATTCTGGAGTCAGACTTCGGAATCCAACTTTGAACCACTGTATTATATTTCCTCCTGCTACATTATATGGATTTTTAGCTTCTATAGTCCTTCTGGTGATGATGAATTCTCCTAAAATATCTTAAAGAATCTGTAAGGACATTTTCTGCTTTTGTAGAAAGCAGGGGCGTTATCTTTATCCTCATCCTTTGATACAGGGCTTACAAAATGTGTAGGATCCTTCTGATCACTGAAGATGGAGATTTTACTAATGCTTGGCTTGAAACCAGAGATGCCAACCCCCTTTTCCATGCCATTTTCTCATCAGGTGGTAATTGGAAGTTAGAACATGAAGCTTAAATGCCAAAGGTATGGGTTTTACCTTCATGTGAACAAGATAATTTTACTTAGTCCATGACCACAGAGTACAGCCTTAACCCCAGACAGCCTTCTCACAAGTGCAAGCAGTGTGGGGGCATCACTCATCCTCATTGTCAGAAGTGCTCCAACATAGACCCATGTACAGAGAGCATCATTGCCATAAATGAAAGCAGTAATGATGGAGCCAGGGAATGCAAATAGACTTTAGCTTAGTTGCTAATGCCAAATGATGGGTCATGGCTTCCAGGATGAGCACAGCGCTGAGAAGGATTTGGAAACTGCATCTAAGCTTATCAAAGAGTGCAGTAATTGATTGTTCTTGTCTGCCATGGGCTTGGAATATGGAACTAGTGACAAGTGTGTTCTGTACTTGCCGTGTCTGATATAGTCTATTCATATGAAAAAGCTAAGACATCTTAACTGTGGGCAGCTCAAAGCATATGAATTTCAATTTGTGCTTCTGTTTTTTTCTGTCTCTTTCATATTTCTTCTTCCATCTCTGCTTTTCCTCAAGAGAAATGGCCAAACGCACCTTCTCCATGTTAGAGACATTCCTGATTTTCCTCCTTGTGATGATGACTGCGATCACGGTGGCCCTTCTCAGCCTCTTGTTTATCACCAGTGGGACCACTGAAAATAACAAAGGCAAGTGTCATGGGCTTTCTTGGATGCTATTCCTAGGCCTGCAGGAAATTTTTTGAGTATGGGGGACACCAAGGTAAGAAACAGCATCTGCTGATAACAGGGCAGTTCAATGTATACTTAAGCAGCGTGCGGTGGCCATCTAACCTTTACATTAATTACCCTTTCTGCATGGATAGCAATTTTTATCAAGCTTACCTTTGTCCCAAATAGCTAGTTGACAGGCTTTCTGACATGCATTTATTTGTCTTTCATTTTCCCACTGATCTAAGCACAGTTCAGTCTTCTTCAAGGCCCAGTAATGTGAGCTTTCCTGCTAAGCCTCTTCTCTTTCTCTTTGTCTCCTTTTTGGCATCATCTTTTCCTGGGGTTACTGAATGTCAATTAGTCTGTGAAAAGCTTTAGAGAAGGAGGTCTCGAACTCAAATCTTTCCGGGGGCCAATCAATTTCTGTAAAGAAGGTGGACTGGGGAGGTGGACCAGAATGGGGGCAGATGCGATTCTGGTGAAAGGGGTCCACAGCCCCTTCTGAGTGCCAGCTGTTTGTTGTCATGACATCACATGGACTCAGATCTCCTGAGTTTTCAAGAGAAGCTAGAAATTGGGGTTTTTAGACATATCTTGATTTTTTTTTTTTAATGTTGGAGATGAATTTAGTTTTTGGAGACTATCTTTACAGGCTATATTTACAGGCAATATTGGGCCCATGGGTCTTTGATGGAGCCTCTACTTTGGTATTAGGTTATATACTTACTAAATGAAGTAGAGAACACTGTGGGGATTGAATGCGTTGACCAAAGTAAAGGGAGGGCTGACCTCAGACCAAATGAAGAAGGAGACAGCATTCTTCACCTCAGCTTTCTCTTTTGTGGCCTTTTCACTTTTCTAGTGTATTCTCTGCCATATCCCTGTGCTTTGAATTCTCTACAAACACAGAGGAACAGAGGTCCTCTGTGCCAGCAGTGGGCAGAGCAGGGTCTTGGACTGTTAGAAATGAAAGAATCCATAAGAATTATTTAGTTTTAGCTCTTCAAGTTTTAGCTCTTCAAATTAGAAAAGGTGCAGGCTGAGACTCAGGGAGGTTATCAGTAATTATAGTCACTATTCTCATAGTAGAAGTTGCTGTTTATTGCAGGGTTCCTTTGTGTCAAGCACCATAGTCAGGAGTCTACATAATTTTCTCATTTAATTCTCATAAAACTTCTATAAAGGCAGGTGCTAGTCTTAGTATCATTTTACAGATGTGGAAACTAAGACTGAAATCACAAAGAACTTGCCCTTGGCTATGTGACTAGGTTTGGCGTTGGTTGGCACCACATTCCTACGTTGCTATCAGTGAAGACGTAGCAAAGGTGCCTGCTTCCTTCCTTGCAATACTTGATGTCTTGTAGAAAGCGTGGGCTTGGGGATGAGAAGACGTGGATTCCAACTCCATCTAGAAAGCGGTTGAAAGAACGTGAGGTTCTGGGTTAGAGGATCCGGTTTGGGCATGTGATTCATCATATGCTCTCCATGAAATCTTGGTTAAGTCACTTCTCTGGGTTTTAGTTTTCTCATGTGTAAAGCTGAGGAGATTAGACTACGTGATCTCTAAGTTTTTTTGAGCTCCAGAATTCTAGGATCCCAGAAGGAGTTAGCTGTTAATTTATTGCCTAAGCGCTTTCTGACCACTAGTGCCTAGTGACACTGACATTTACTGCCTTGGCCACCCCTGACTGTTGTCTGGGGTGGAAACAAACAAACAAATAAAATGTGTATGTAAGATGTCTAAATAATAAAACCAAAGCTATAAGCCAGCCATCGCTCTAAATTTTTAATATGCATTAATATGTTTATTGTTCAAAACAACCCTAGGAAGTAGGGTATTATTATTATCTCCTTTTTATAGATGAAAAAATTGGGGTGAAATAGGCTAAGTAATTTGTTCATCTAGTAAGTGGTAGAGCCAGTTTTCAAACCCATGCTGTTTGTTTCCGGCACCTGCCCTCTTAGTCTCTATGCCATTCTGCATCCCTTGATATTTGTGTGTGTGTGTGATATGCACACTAATATAGAATGTATGTGTGTACATACACATACATATATGGTAGCATGAGAATCATTAAAATAAGGTGGAGCTACGTCAACAAGTGTACAATGATCCAGGTTGCATTAAGAATAAAAGTCTATGAAAGGTTGAGGAAGATCAGAGGAGGGTATAGACAGTTAGGTGTGGCATCCTGGAGATGAGGGGTTGAGCTGAATCTGAGTGTGATGGAAATGTACTCTGAAGGGGGTAGTGGAGACTGGTTGGTAGAGCAGGAAGGAGTGAGAGCTCTGGATGCAGAGAATGGTAGAAACAAATCCCCAGAGGCTGGATTTAGTAGGTTGTGTGCCAGGAATTTGTCACCTGATTCATTTGGCTGAAACAGAAGTGCAGGGTGAGTGAATAAAGGGTGATGAGTTTGAGAAAGAATGGCTTGTGATGAGAAGCTGATGGACAATTGATGGAGGCCTTGATTGTTCAGCTGAAACATCTCCAGCCCAAGAAAATGATCTTAGGATTATGTTATAAAACACGTTCCTGAGATGTTTTTCACCTTATGTCTTATATATAAGAGACTATACAATGATTTTTCCTTAGACACCTGAACCTATGGGTTCTAATTGATGTTGATAAATATGTGGGCTGAAACGTTGTTTCTTAAATATCTTATTCCATTTTTAGATTCAGGTTATTCGACCACCCAGAGCCGTCAGGCCACCCAGGGCCCTCTGGCCACGCAAGGCTCCACAGCCGCTCAAGGCTCCACACTGACCCAGGGCCCCATAGCCACCCAGGTGTCTCCAGGGACTAGCACCCCAGAGCCACCTCTATTTCAGAACTTCAGTGGCTACAATATCGGTGTTGGGCGAGCTGACTGCACAGGACAAGTAGCAGATATTACTTTGGTAAGTAAATCATGGGCTCCTCAAAGAGACTACGAAACAAGTAATTTTATTATTTTGCATCCTAAATTTCTTATTTATTACATCATCTTCTCCCTTTTCTATTGACTTCACTGTTGTCTAACACTATGAATATTGTACTGTAAGGAAGATGGGAGATTTTATTCAACCACAACTTCCTTGTAAAGACAACTGGCCATCTTTATGAAGTGGCAGGGCTGGCAAACTAATACCACAGGGGATGAGCAGGTACTGTGAACGACTGAGGCAGGCCAGTGTAAGATGATAGATATCTAGCGAATCCTCATTTTGGGGTCAGCAGGAAGTGGCAGGGACTATGGTGCAACTAGAAAGTGCATGGCTCTAGCTGACTGTTGCCATGTAAGAATGCTGACTCAGGGCTGCTGTATCTTACAGTTGTTTTTTTTTTTTCAAGAGAAGCCAGAAAGTCTATGGATTGAAGATCTGAGGGTTTCAATCTCTCAGTTGGAAAATATAGGCAACTCTAGTTGGTTAAAACTGGAAACCTAGTATGGACAAACACTGTGTCAGCCAAGTAAAAAACATCTGTAGGTGAGGTGTGGCCTACTGGCTGCTAGCATGCAACTTCTTGGCTGTGATGTTGGAAATATGCATTTATATCAACCCTACCCTAGAATACCAGAGCATGAAGCTGTCTGATGGAATCTTCTCCTTCCTTCCAAATAACCTTTAGATTCTAGGAATTCTTCCCTCCTGTCTGTTCTGAAAAGTGACTCTGGAATGTGAACCCTAAATGAACACTCACATGAGGGATAAAGCAAGCAGTGGGTGTAGCATTCTGAAGACCAGGGTATACCTTTAAGGGTGGGTTTTACGACATAGTGAGAGAAGGAGTTTGGGATAGGTGTATTTGGTCTGACTTGGCTTAGGGAGGGACAATGTGGTAAAAGCCAGGGTGAGGCACCCTCAGTAAAGATTACTTAATCATAAAGAAACCATTTCCTTCAGGAAAAAATAACACAAATAACCAAAGGGAGGGAGCCTTCAGTCTTCAGGATGTTCCTGGGCCATGAGGGATGGTGGTAGGGGAACTATTTCCTTTTGTAGTGCCTTAAACAGGAAGGAAAAAAGGTTCTGTTTCAAAGAACAGAAGAGCCCTGAAAGGCCTGCAGTGTGGTAATGGAATTCCCGAGCCACCCTAGCTTTTTCCTCGCCCATAGACCGGTGAATAGCTTCTGTTAGGCCCATCACTGCTTGGCCTTTACATTTTTCTACATGGAATAATAAAACCTCTTTTGTGATATTGGCTTAATTGTTGAAAACATATATATTATCTGACTTGGAGCCACAGTGTCATGTGCATTGTTTTTTGTCTTTCCTAAGTAGTCTATTCTTGTATGGTTGTTCCTGGTTTCTGGTAGCAGAGGAGTGAGACAGAGTGGTTCTGATTCCGCTTTCCTCTTTAGATGGGCTACGGCAAAACTGGTCAGCATGCACGGGGCATCCTCACAAGGTTGTACAGTCGTGCTTTCATCGTGGCAGAACCTGACGGGTCAAATCGAATGGTGTTTGTCAGTATTGACATAGGCATGGTATCCCAACGACTCAGGCTTGAGGTAAGTGATTCAAATGAGAAAGAAATGACATGTTTTAAAAGAAAGTCTGTGGGTGAATGTGACAGTAACTAAGCCCTCCTGGTTTCTCATCCAGTAAGTTTCTACTACCCTCAACATTATAAGCTCTTGACAATCCAGCAGACAATTGGATGAGGAGAATGATCCTTCTTTTTCCATTCCAAGTCATTTTGGTCAAAATTTGCTTTCAACTCTGCTGATGGCCAATCATCATTATTAATGCTAATGTTTTTTGAAAGCTTATTATATTCCAGGTGACCTTCATGTACATTCTTTCATTTACTCCTCCTTGTTAGAAGTCTGAGAGCACCAATCAATCACTAACCCTTCCCTCAAGTTTTTAGACAATTGAGAATATATGCAAGGAATCAGATGAGAATCAAAACACAACACTGAAATGAGGTTGACCATAAATTGCTGAAGCTGGGTTTTAAGCACACGGGGGTTTCATTATACTGTTCTGATAATTTTGTGTTTGAATATTTCAATAATAAAATTTAAAAAGGATATGTCAGCTCTCTTCATTTTTAAACTGTATCCTAGAATATGGTAGGCTTTTCCATGATTTTCCCCAAATTTAGATCTTGTTACTCACCTATGGGGAAAGTTGAGCTTAGCAGAAAGCTGCATGGGGGGGATTGTTCCTGGGCTGCCTGAGACCTCTAAGGTACAGAGTGAGAGAAAAAGAGGGAGGGAGGGAGGGAAGGAAGAGGGAAGGAGGGAGACAGAAAGAGAAATAGAGTGAAAGACAGGGACTTCCATGTCTGTCTCTCTAAGCCAATTTCTAGGCCCTGACCCAGTTATATTTTCTGTATGGGATCAGGTCACAGAAAGAGAATGTGCTCCCTTAATGTCTGTTTGCATATTCATGAATGTGAGAAAGAGAAGAATCCGGAGCACCCAGAACCATGACCATTAAATGTCCATTATTCACTGCCATGTTCTATCAACGTCACCTATTAAACACCTTGCTCTTCCTGCTGTGCGAAGGGGCCAGGGAGAGGGGTGATGAAAGGGCCTAAAAGCATTTCTCCAATGTCACTCCCTCTTGGGGAGTAGAATGGAATCCTCTCCCATCGATGGAAACATGAGAAGCAGTGGTTTAAGTGTTTTCCCCACTCCTATACTTAGAACAAAACTGTTGTTATCCCCATTTTATGGATAAGAAAACTGAGTCTTAGAGAAGGTAAGTAACTTTCCCAAATTCACACAGTTAGCAAATGGAAAAGCTGGGTTCTGAACACATGTATGTCTGATCCCAGAGCCCACATTCTTAAAAGTGACATTATTCTATTATCTTGGAGGGAAAAATGCATTGGCCAACTACTTTTGACAAGGCACTTTGCTAGTCACTTCAGGAGACACACAGACAAGTGAGTCATAATCCATGTCCCCTCTGAACTCACTATCTATTGGAGGGATTGGAGGAAGGGACTGTAAGATAAATATGCAAATAACTATAATTCACTGGAGTAAAGTACAGTGGTGTATTAGTTATCTATTACTGAGTAACAAACAACCCCAAAATATAGTGGCTTCAAACAACAAACATTCATTATCTCACACATTCTGAGGGTCAGGAATTCAGGACTGGCTTAGGTAGGTGCTTTTGTCTTAGGGTGTCTTGAAATCAAGATACTGCAAAGGTTACTGTCATCTGAAGGCTCGACTGGGGCTGAGTGATGATTTCCAAGATGATTCAGTCACATAGCTGTTGGCAGATGGCTTCAGTTCCCCGCTTCCCATATTCTCATAACAGCAGGTGACTTCCCTCAGAATGAGTAACTCAAGAGAAAGAGCAGGAAAGAAGTCACACTGCCTTTTACAACCCAGGCTCGGAAGTTGCACACCGTCACTTTCACCCTGTTCTATTCATTGGAAGCAAGTCACCAAGTCTAGTTTATACTCAGGGGTAGGAAAGTTAAGCTTCACTTCTCGAAGGCAGGAGTATCAAAGAATTTGTGGACATACAGTATTTTAAAACCACCACATTCAGGAAATAGGGAAAAAATTTCAAAGTGAAAATGATACTTGAATGGGCAGAATTTTAAATGGCTAACATGGGGAGGGAGAGCTATCAAATGGAGGGGGCAGCATGAACACAGGGAGGCACAAGTGGGGAATGTAGAATCTTCTTTGAAGGGACAGAGATTAGTTCTGTTAGGACACATGTAGGCATGTAATTGGAGATGTACCTGGAAGGTGTTTTGCTCATAATTGTAAAGATCCTGGAATGTCAGGTTGTTTTTAATTCTGTGGGTGACAGGGATTCTTAGAAAACTGTTGGGTGGAGGACTGATGCAAACAATTTTGTTTTAGGATGTTTAATCAGACAGTGATGTTTGAGGTGGATTGAAACAGACTAGAGCTAGAGGTGAGGACACAAATTGGCAGATTCTTTAAATTAATGTCAAGGCTCTATTGGTGAGGGTGCAATTGGGAAAACAGTAATCACATTAGGCATTTCAAACAGAGGGGATTTAGTACAGGAGAGTTTTTCAAGGTGTTGGAGGGCTGAAAGAACTAGAAAGGGAAGCTAGGGTTGTAGGAAGGATTTTAACTCTGCCTGGCAATTTCCCTTATATCATGTGAGGCTGGTGCAAAAGTCTTAAACAAATGGAGTCGCAGTGAGACTACATGGTGGTAAGAGGTCAAATTAAATACTAGTGAGATTTGGGGATGAATAGACATAAAAGCTAATACGTAATGTAGTCCCCCTGATGAGTCAGGCACTGTTCTAAGAGCTTCATATATATTAATTAATCCTCCAAACAACTGTATGAGAAAGGTTCTATTATTATGTCATTTGACAGTTTGGGAGACCGAGTTGCAGATGATCAAGTAACTTGTTCAAGGTTACACAGCTAGGAACTGTCAGCGCTGGGATTCAAACATAGGCATCTTGATGCCACAGCCCACGTTCATTACCACTGCACTATACTGTTTTTTCAGGAATCAAAGGTGATTCTGATTGGGAAATTGTAGGGTCATAAGCAGAAATAGGAGAGTCAAAAGGTAGAGTTTGGGGGTGCAGTGTGGAGGGGAGAGGCGTTTAATGTGTTGGGTTGTAGACTCCATCAAGTCAATAGTGGGCACCATTTAACCATCTCTTTCTATTTTTATTTCCCCATGCAATCTGAGACCCAGTGGGAAGGCCTTTAATCGAACCCACTTAGTTGTCCCAAGTTAACCCAAGGGAAAGTGTGAAAAATAAATGTGGCTAGACAAGTGCCATTAAGCTTATAACACCTAGTTTTAGACAAGTTCTCAGTCTCAGCATTAACATTGATGAAATTTCCAGCATGAAATGAAGATTAAGGAGGATCTCTGAGCAGTGAGGCAGGGCAAGAAAACAATGACTTTCTAACTCTTTCTATGTCATGTTCCCAAGAGTGTCAGTAATAGGAAATGGAATGGAAACAGAAGACAAAGAAGTGAGCTGTAGACGTTAATGTAACTTCTTTGCTTTATGTTAAAATACCCCTCCATTCATGAAGTAGAAAACATGCTATTTATATGGCTATTTGCAGGCATTGTTATTAGGTGATTGGGTTTTTGACTTCTTTTTCTTTTCTTTTTCCCAGAAATCCCATGTGTCTGACTTCATATCAGAGATTTAGGATAAGATTTCTATGAGCTCTTTGTAATCTTTTTCTTTTGTTTTACAGTTCAAGATTCATAATTTCTATCTTTTTAAGAGCTTGATTCTTGAATAAATGTGAAGAAATACACTTAATTCTAAAATCCTGACATTATAGCTCTTTAGGAATAAAAACAGGGTAAGTTTAGGGGAGCTTTTGAGTTGACTGGCAATTCTTTTTTTTCACTACCTTCTTGTCTCAGAGAATGTTAAGAATATTAGCCTTTGACTTTAATTAAGCTTTCATGGTGTCCCTTCATTGATCTGTCCCTTACGGATATTTCTTCTTCATGAGTGTGGTAGTTATTGCGTGGAAGAATACATAAGAGTGATGAAGAGCTGGGGTTGGAGTTAGGATCAAACAGAAGGAACATGGAAACTTACTGGGATGGGGGGATGTGGGCTACTTGGTCAGAGGGATGTTAGTCTGGTTATATCATATTTCCTTTCCACATTTGCCTGGTATCACGGGATTGCTCATGTGGACATGGTAACATAGCAATCGATGTTTGGGGCACGGAGAGGTTAATGAGGCAAGGTGGTTTGGAAAATCTTCTTCCTGATTCAATGACCACATGACTAGAATGAGCGTGGTGGAGCTCTTCACCTAAAATAGAAGAGGTTAAATGGATGTCTTTATGTATGTTAAGTATATAGCATATAAGTCCCTGCTACTCCTGTATGTACCAATGGTGTGCTGGAAATGGCCTGCACCAGCTCATGAGAGTCAGTTGTTAAATATTCAGGAACTTTGTGAGCTGGTTGTTAAACTTTTGGTAGCTTGAAATTGACTATGGTGGGAGTATTTGCACCACAGAAATTGGCAAGCAGTACAAATGAGGGATTTCTTTTTTTTTTTCCTTCAGAGAGTTTATCAGCATACTGTGGCCTGTGCCATACTTAAGGTAGACAGCATTGCTAATCAAAAAAGGCACTCTTTTGATTTGGGTTCAGAATCCTTCTCAACACACTGCTCCTGGCAGCAACCACCAATAAATAGGACTGAGTGCATGAGATAAGCAGTATTTACTCTCTCTGCCATAAATGAGCTTGCGTCATTGTCCCTGGTATTAGGTGATAGAATACTACATTGAAAAAGGTTGCTTTGGGTTTGACACTTTTGCTGGATCATTTTAATGATTTTTGATGTAAAAAAGTCAAAATATCTTTCACAAAGAAGCCACAATAATATCAAACTTCAGATTGCAGCTGATTAAAGCATAATCTGAAATAATACTCAGGGACATCACTAATTTTCTCTCTGTTGTTTTTCTGATGTGTATGCACCATACAAAGACACTAATCATGGATTTGGATGTACATTGATTGATTAATTCAATGAACATTTACTGAGTCTCTTTGTATTAGTTATCTATTGCTGTACAACAAGTCATCTGGAAAACTCAGTGGCTTAAAGCAATAATAATCATGTGTTATTGCTCAGGATTTCTGTGGGTCAGGAATCCAAGAGTGGCTGGGTTAGGTGATCCTGACTTATGTTAGAACAGAAGTCACATATCATCACTTCTGTGTCATGAGGTTGAACTCAGAAGTTGGCTGGGGCTGCAGTTGTTTGAAGGCTTGACTGAGGCTGAAGGATCTGTTTCTAAGGTTGCTCACCCGCATGGCTAGCAAGTTGGTGCTGACAAGTTGAGTCCTTTCCACATGGGCCTCTCCACAGGAATGCCAGGGTGTCCACAGTGGCTGGCTTCCCCCAGACCAATAAGTGTAGGGGTCTGTGTCAGGGAATATTGAGTTCTTTGTCGTGGGAAGTGAGGCAGTAAAGAGGTCTTTGCTCTCTGTTCACTGTGCCCAGGATGCTTTTCTTCTAGGTATTGCACAACTACCTTCCTCTCTTCATTTAAGCCTCTGATGAAAGATAACCTCTTTGGAAAGATTTTTCCTCACTAACACCCATCGCTCTCTTTTTCCTTACCCAGCAATATTTTTCTTCATAGCATTTATCACTATATGATATAATATTACATATTTATTTGTTTGTTTATTATCTTTTTCTTCAGAATAAACACTTCTTCAGAGTAAGAATCTCATGTATTCCTAGTGCTTAGAACAGTGCCTGGATATTAATACTATGTGTTGAATGATGAATAGGTAAGAGTACCGTTTCTATAGAGAGACTGGGATCTGGATTCTGGCTTTGCTCTCTATTAGATCAGTGGGCAAATTACTTAATTTCTGTACACTTCAATGTTCTCAGCTAAAAGATAGGGTTAAAGATACCTTCCTCTTGGGGTTGTTATAAAGATTTTTAAATGACGTGGTGTATGTAATACCTAGCATTGTGCTTGCACATAGCAAGAATCTATAAAATGTTAGCTATTGCAATTGTTGTTACTATGATGATATACTCAGGCATAGAGTGAAGGGCCACTTGACAGATGTCGTTGATATGGATCAGTGATTGGGCTCATCAGAGCCTTTTCTCATGCTAAATTCCTATCTATGTTATCCCTCCTCCTCTTAGTTCTGTTTTTTTTTGTTGTTGTTGTTCATTTCTTGAAGGTCCTGAACAGACTGCGGATTAAATATGGCTCCCTGTACAGAAGAGACAATGTCATCCTGAGTGGCACTCACACACACTCGGGTCCAGCCGGATATTTCCAGTATACTCTATTTTTAATTGCCAGTGAAGGATACAGCAATCGAACTTTTGAGTACATGGTCACTGGTATCGTGAAGGTGAGCAAAGAGCCCCAGAGGCAGCTGTTCATTACCGTTGTTTACCGTGTTTTAGGAGTGGTTTGGGGTGATATGAAGAGAGTCCCTAAGGGTCTTGGTCTGAGCACTGTCTTAGCACTTACCTCTCTTTCCTCTGCCTGACTCCCTTGTTGCTTCTGGTCCTGAGTTGTGGGCTGTTAGGCATGAGGTACTGATTGATTGGGAGAAGAGAGTTCTGTGGCAGTAAACCTCATGCAGTTGTCTAAACACACAGAAAACATTTTGTATGTAACCCTTATAAATTATAGGGCCCTACATGGTCTGTTTTCTGCACAAAGTCACACGAAATGGAACACATCAAGGAACCAAGAGTAATTACAAATAATTCCAATCTTTTCTTGTATTTCCCAAAGAGCATAAGAAGGGATCCAATTTATAAACACACATCCTCATTTCTCTGCAGCAGCTCTAGACTGACAAGATGCTCTGAACCGATAAGCTCAAATCTTCTTCCACTCCTGGTTTGAGTAGCTTTTACTCCTCTCTCCCTGTCTTCCAGCTTATTATTTTCTCACATAGGATCCTTGCTAATGTGTTCTTCATTCCTTTACCTTTCAGGTTTAGTCTTTATCTACTTCTTCTTATAAAGTCACCCCCCAAATCTAGGGATTCAGCTGGCAAAGGCAGAAATGTCTTTACAACAATGTTTTTCAAACTATGAATGGCTTTCTGAAATCAATTTAATGGGTTGCAATGAGCATTTAAAAAAAGAACTAAAATAGAATGGATTGGAAATTATCAGAGTATGTAACACATGATAAGGATATAGTTTGTTTTGTGAATTTTTGTTTTAGGATACATACGTTGATGTGCATTAAGTTATGATGGAAAATGTATTCCTTGCTGTGGTTCTTAGTCAAAAAAGTTTGAAAAATTCTGCCTTAGAGGGTGGAGGGATGGAGAGAGTAGGGAGGGTGGAATACCTACATGTTAACAAATCTCATCCAGTGTTGTAGGAGTCAAGTTGCCCATTCGTGTCATCTGAAATGGCAGATGTGCCTGACTCAGCAGTCCCAAGGACTCAGGTGCTGATAAGCACCGTGCTTCCCTATACACAGCGCTACCTCTGTCTCAGCCCTGAAGCCCATGTCTGTTTACCTCCAGAATGACTCCAGCCGTGTGGTTCCCCAGCTTTTATCCCATAGTGGGGACAGATTGGAGACAAAGGAAATTGTCCACAGGGCTTGTCTATTTATATTGACTTAGTCCTTCTCCTTACCAGGATTTCTAAATTTACAACTCTTTTTTTTTTCTTAACCTGCAGAGCATTGAGATAGCACACACAAATATGAAACCAGGCAAGATCTTTATCAACAAAGGAAATGTGGATGGTGCACAGATCAATCGAAGCCCTTATTCTTACCTTCAGAATCCTCAGTCAGAGAGAGCAAGGTGAGGGGGAAATTATCAAAATGAAATTCTGTATTTCCTTTAGGAAACAGCAACAAAATCTAAGAACAAGTAGTTACTGATGAATATGGTGGGATCCTAAAGAGTATTAAAGCTAAAATTAATTTAAAAACATGTTTATAATCTAAGATGAGCAGAAATAAACAATGAGGGTAGAAACACACACCAACCTGTGCACGAATCTTCCCACTTTTCTGGCCGTGGGAGTCCGTGAGAATGTTTGGAAGACTCTGGGCCTTGGAACCAGGCACAACTGATTGAGTCTCATCTTAGCTTTATCACTTCCCCATTGTGTAACCTTTAGTGATTTACTTATCTTAATTTATTGGCTCTCAGCTTCTTCATCTGTAAAATGGAGATAAAAATGTGCGTTACACCTATTTGTTAAATTAATGAATAGCTTTCTTTATTACGTTGTTCAGAAGAAATTATCTTAGTCCAGGAGAATGTGGCAAGAGAGAGGAGATAAAAGAAATAAAGAAACTGGAATGAAGAGCAAGAAATAAAACTAGCATAATTGAATGGAACTACTAAGGAAGATGATGATGATGATTTTTTTAAGTGATGAGCCAGTTTGCAACAGAAGAGAAGTACTTGGCTGCTATGGCAGAGTAAAATAATATCTCAATTGCAGCTTGACCACTTGACATTTTACAATTGTCTGCATATTTTTCAATAGATGTCAAAGGAGATGATTTTTAGAAAATATATTCTGATTTCCCTTGAAAGGACATAAAACAACACTTTTAAGTTGCAGGTCATGAATGTTTTTGATCTTGCATGTTCCCTGCTATTTTTAAGAAATTCCATTAAAATTTGATAGGAGTGGAAATTTCAAAGACAAATACTTTTTGTAAGAAATACATATATAATGTTGCTTATATTACATAAAAAATGTATATTTCGTTTCTAGCTGAGGCATGAGGTCCTGGATGCAGTTCATAGGAGTACAGCATGTCAGGAAGTCTCACCGAGAGGTGTTCTTGTATCAATTTCTACTGTTTGTTATACACAAGGGCCAGGCTTTAACATAGAACTGACTAAGTTTCTTTGTTTTGTTGACTAGGTATTCTTCAAACACAGACAAGGAAATGATAATCTTAAAAATGGTAGATTTGAATGGAGACGACCTGGGTCATATCAGGTATTCTATTCAATTTTTTTTTTATTCTGTCTTAACTTTCCTTAATTATAGGGGTAAGAAAAGAGACTAGAATAGTGGCAGCAGAGGCTGAGAATAAGTTGAATGGTTGAGACCGGACTTGGGAGTCAGATAAGACACTTCTGATCCAGCCATGGGTTCTGGGGCAAGGTTCTTAGCTTCCCAGGGCGTAGTTCCTCACCTGTAAAACAGGACTAATAAAAAGATTATGTAAATGAGGGATCTGGGTCAAGAAGGTTAGCACAGCATCTGGCATATGATACAAAGACTCAGTGTTAGTGCTTATTACTATATCAAGATCTCATATGTGGAACTTCTATGATGGTGGACAATTATCTCTTGGTTAAGTGAGAAAACAATCTGACCAAACAGGCAGATGATTATGGGTTTGAGATTATTTACTTGTGTTTTTCTAAAAGAGTTAAGTCTAATGCAGGACAATGTCAATTAGTGATGAAAGCAGAACCGAGACCACCTAAAGGAAGCAGATAAGGTAAGATTACAGCTTGGCACAGGTTTTAGTATCTTTTTATATATAAGAAAACATGAGTATCTTGTTTTCTTCAAGAAGAAGGCATTTATATTCACATGTGATTTTGGTCGTTGCAATTGCACTGACTCAGGAATTGACTGGGTAGGTGACAGTGTCAGATGCCTTGACATGTGGACTCAAACCTATGTGTTTATGGAGTTGGTAAACTCATCTAGGCATTTTCAGTGCCTCGCTTCAAATGACACACAAAGCTCTAAGGAAGTGTATGATGGCGCTTGGGTGCGAGAGTCAAATGGGTTGGGTTTACTCTGGGCTCTCATCTTTGTTAGCTATGTGACTTTGGCCAAGTTACGTAACTGCTCTGTCTCAGTTTTCTTATCTCTAAAATTGAGGGATAAAATGAGTCCTTAAAATGTTGATAATAAGTGTTAGTAAAGGTGGTGAGGTTTTGCCAGGTAGAATTATGAAATATCTACATGAAAGGGTCTATGTGAGTAAAATTAACAATAATGAGAGGTGAAGAAAAACAGTAAAGACTGTGACCCACAGTTCAGATACCAGTGTTGGCCCCATAACTGCGTGGAGAACAGCATGGTGGTGAGAAGTTCAGGTTTAGGGTTTAGGTTTTAGGTGTAGGTTTTAAGACTTGGGCTCAAATCCCAGCCCTGCCATTTACTAACCCTGTGGCCTGGAGGAAGTAACTTATCTACTTACATCTCAACTAGGCTATATGAAAATGGGAATAATAATACCTCATAGGGTTGTTTGAAGATTAAATGGGATAAAGTACATAAAGCTATGGTTCTGTGCCTGGCATTGAAAAGAGTTTAATAATTTCAGCTAAAAGGTAAGAAGTAGAATAATATTCTACCTCTTCTAAAAACTCTGTTATTGGCATATCAGAGTGCTTGAAATTCTTAACATTGGAGCTAATTCTTTGGGTTTAAAGTGAGGTCACTGGAAACTCCCTGATAAACTTTATTACATGGGTTGACATCATAGGACTCATTCTTCCATTATAGTAAATTCATCTACTGGTTAGGTGCCACCTAGCATTTAACTCAATGGACTTCCTAAATGTCAGGCATGCAACTGTGTGCTTGGAGAATACTATGTTGAATAAGGCATGGTCCCTATCTTCAAGGGTCTTATAGGCTAGCGAGGTGATTGGGGTAGGAGACAGAGACAGACAGACAGTAATCAGAACACAAATCAGATGGCCATCAGTGCTATAACCTGAGCATAAATAAGTGCTGTGGGAATTTGGAGTGCTACTTGGGAGCATTGTGGAAGGTTTCAAAGAGAAAATGTTTGGACTGGACCTGGAAGAGCTTTCATGGAGTCATTAAAAAACAGTGAGTGTGAGGCCAGAGAAAGGGCTAGGTCAGGGAGTGGGTGAGAGATGAATCTGGAAAGGTAAGCTAGCTCTAGATTGGAATTTGGTTAGGAGGCGGTCAGGATAAGAGCATATATCTATGACTAGTTACGGTATCCCAAATTTTTTGGGAGAAGAAAGTTGCTTTTCTCTTATAGTTTCTACTTAACTCTTGGCTGAATAACTGAGACCATTCATGATTCCCTTTTATTAGTTTCTGAATCATTTAACAATGCCAACAGAAAACTCAAAAATGCTATCTTTTTGCCCAGATGTTCTTTGCTTCCTTGCATATAAGTATACAACACATCCAGAAGTCCCAGGGTCAACTGTCAAGGTTATAACAACACTTTTCCATCTGCTGTGCTTATTACCCTGCAATAACTTTCCATTGTTTCTGTAGCTGCCATATGTTATCCTTGATGTAATTGCTCCTGCAATTGCTTCTTGTTGCATAGTGATAATTGCTCTTGGAATATATAAAAAATGATCCAAAACATAAAATCAAATCTGGGCTGCTGAGTAACTCAGCTGTTGTTAAACAGCTGTGGGTGCCTGATGTTAAACAGAATGCCAAAGTAAGAGGAGTTTGGAAGCACAGAATCTCAGATTTGCAGCACGAAGATCATTTAGTTCAAACTTCAGCTAAGACCTGGAAAGGTGATCTGACCTGCCCAATGTCACAGCCAAGACTATTTTCTTCACACAGAAAACCATATTGAAGTTCATAATTTATCCTTCTTCCTTTCATTTTTATTTTCATTTCTTCATTCAATAAGTCCGCACTAGACACGTACCGTGTGCCATGCAATCCTTCCCAGTCCTTGGAATGATGCATTTCCTGGCCTTGAAATCAGGAACCAAATACCTTGGAATCAAATATCTGTGTCTGTGCTCCTTGAGCAAATACCTTAAACTCTCTGAGACTCAGTTTCCACATTTCTCAAATGTGGATGTAAGAGCTTTTCTTCACACAGAGATTATTATTCCTGATTTGTTAAATATTGTGGAATACACATGTCATGAACTAAGCTAATACAGTAGATACACTGATGAGAAAAAATAGATGTAGTTGCTACCCTTATAGAACTTACAATCGACTGGTAGAGACAAAAGGTATTCAAATAGTCGTACAAATACATGCATAATTATAATTGAGTTAAGTGCTAAGAAAGGAAGGTATGTAGAGCTATCTTAAAGGGATTTGACCTGGTCAGGAAGACTGGGAAAGGCTCCCTGAGAAAGTGACAGTGGAGCTGAAAACTGAAGGAAGGTAGGAACTAACTGGCAAAATGCAGGATGGAAAAGAACTTTTAATACAGACAGAGAAGCATGTGCAAAAGTCCTGTGGCCCATTTGAGGAACTGATAAAAGGTCTGTGTGGCTGGCATGCAGAGGACATTGGAGCAGGGTGTGGTGGGATAAAGTTAGAGGTAGTGATTAGATGCCATGATAAAGATTTTGATCTTTACACCAAGGGGAATGGAAAATCACTGAAGTGATTTTGCTGAGGTTGGGAGTTAGGGGCTCCTGAAGGATTAGGAGGAGTGATGACTTAAGGAATGAAATAGAATTGTGTGCATGAAACTATTCCATGACCATTAAGTCCTCTACAAATGTGAGGCCACCATTTCCTCCAATTGATCTATCTATGTAGGGAAAATATTTCTATCTTTTTGCCTGATATTACCTTATGCAGAAACAGCAAATTATTTTTCTCCAGATGTGGAGAACATGTTTGGAATGTTCTGAATTTTGAATTACGATATAAGCTGTGTGGCATTTACAAAATTCCCTTGGGGAGACTCTGGAAGGCACCTCAAAGAATGAGTTTGTCATCCAGCAGAGAAGAACAAGTTGCGTCTTGAGAGATCCTGGTGTAGCAAGACACCATGTGTATGAAGAAACTGTGAAGGGAGAAAACAAAACAGAGGTTTCAATTGCTGCTATTCATTGGAGCTGTGAGAAAGTCTGAGCAGGTGTTTGAATGATTGCTCCATTGTCTTCTGTTTTATACATTGCAAATCCTTTTACTCTTACAGAAAGGGGTCATGTAAGGGGGCCCTTTAAAGAATCGTTTTAGAAAGCAACAGGGACAGTGATTTTTCAACCTATCTGAATAATTTGTATACACACTTAGAAAAACCCAATTCACGAAATTCCACTAATTTATTTGAATGATATTGACTTACAGAACTCAGCCATGGTGTGTGTGTGTGTGTAAATCTTCTTTGCCATCTGTGACTGTGACTTCTTGATTGTATGTCTGACTGTCTATTCTCTATGGCTCTCTATTCTGCCCTCTACATTCTCTCCTCAAACTACTCAACTCCACTCAGGTAGAAAGTGTGGAAACCTCAGAGACTGTCCTTCACCAGCCTTTCTTGACCTCTTCTCTTTTCTCTGTCTTATCTTGTCTTTGTCTTTTAAAAATCCCTGCTCCAAGGGTGTTAACGCTTGTGTGTGAAGCCCGCTCTCTATTCCTCTGGCCTTCACTGAATTGCGCTTCCCTGTTCTGCCCCGTCTGTGTTGTCGTGAAGCTCGATGCAGCCTCCCTGCTCCAGTTTTCCTGTTAGCTTGTCTGTGTTGTTGCTCTCCAGGGGAGTATAGGCCTTAGCTGTGTAGTGAGTTTTCATCCTGTGTCTGGTCCATCCCCATGTAAAGTGAAGGCGCTCACTAAGGGCTTTTTGATGACAAGGGTAATGGTAGCTGACTAATAACAGAGATAATCATGCTTGTTCATTTAATTTGTCCCAAGTTTAGAAACCAAAGCCGTAAAAACCAGTTGTCATAACTGGCAGAAGACATTGGACTTGATTGTCGGATTTCTGGAAAGTTCTTAATCCAAATAGATTTTGAAGTTTATTATTTTTTTCCAAGTTTTTTTTAGTATAAAAATTATGGGTACTCATCATAGAAAACTTGACACACATAAGAAAGTAGAAAAAAAGAAAAATTAACTCAAAGTTACACTTCCCAAAGACAACCGTGGTTAGTATTCAGGTACATTTTCTTCTGTCCATGTTCCTGTGTGGAACATTTAATAAGAAGTAAGCATGACTAAAAGGTCATTCTGTAAAGGCGGATGCTTACTTGGTTTCACTCACTCTGGGC